CTGAAAAAGAGGAAGATTTCTGCCCCCAGCCATGAGCAAAGCTCTCATTTCTCCCATCCAAGTACTAACCAGGCCCGACCCTGCTTAGCTTCTGAGATCAGACGAGATCAGGCGCATTCAAGGTGGTATGGCCGTAGACAAAGTTCTCATTTCTGAGGCAGTTTTTACCCCATTTTCATGCTATAGAGTAGTGCTCTGGGTCTGTGGTCAGTGAGGAAGCAGAACCAAGGGGAGGACCCTGTTTGCTGGCATTCATTTCCATGCAGGCTATTGTAGGCTTTGTCAATATTTATTGACTCATCTGGCTTGTTGATTCCATGCTAGTTATAGGAAGTCCAGCTTCACAAATTAAATATTGGCTGTACCACACTTTAATGGAAAGGTGACCTCCCAGCTGCTGCCCTTATCCTCTTCACCTTCTTCCCTATATCAAAATATCCAAACTGGGGCTGGGGAGATGGCTCAGTAGAATAAGCACTTGCCTGGCAAGCCCAAGTGTCTGAGTTCAATCCCCAGTTCCACCAAAAAAAAAAAAAAAAAAAAAAGAAAGAAAGAAAGAAATGAAATAAAATTAAAAAAAAATATCCAAACTGGAATTATCCCTTTCTTGGTCTCATCTGATCATCCCAGGAGCCAGCAGCTCTGTAAAGGTAAGCTCCAGCTCCCAGTCATGGCCAGTGGACCACACCTTTGCTCTGTGCTTCTAGATGTCGCCGGGCAGGTTTCCTTGGCTGGGTCTTGGCATCTGCCCTTGGCTCAACACTGAGCTCTCCAGTTGGCTCACTGATCAGTGAGTGCAAGGAGTGATTAAACTACAGTGTCATTTGGTTTGAAAAAACTAAAGCCGCACAACTGGCTTTTGCCTGCTCAGCTTTTGTGTACTCACACTTTAGAGCTGTTTGGCAGGCAAGAGAGAAGGACCTTGATCTTCCATGTTAATATGGTCACCAAAATCTACCTTCCCATGCAAAAATCTCATCTTTCCACTTATGTTTTGGATTCAAAATTTAGAGAGGCAGTAACAACTCTACAGAAAGGAGCTGGGTTTTTTTTTTTTTTTTTCTTCAGAACTGGGGATTGAACTCAGATCCTTGCACTTGCCAGGCAAGCGCTTATTCTACTGAGCCATCTCCTTGGCCCTGAGATGTCTGTCTTTAAAAAAAAGCAGAAAAGTAACAGAAGCTGTCCTATGTGTTTATCATCTCTAAATTATAGAATTGTTTTCCTATTGTTTTCTAAGATCAGAGTTCAACACATTGTATCTGTCCTTAGAACCTATAACTACCATTAAAAAAATCTTTTTTAACCTGGGCCTCTCAATTTCTTGCAATTCAATCAAATATTCAATGAAATATTTACTGAGCCCCAACAATGTGCCAAATATGATCCTAGAACAAAACATTGGTGAGGAAGAAAGGCAAGATCTGGCCTCATGGAGCATATTCCCAAGTAG